CTTCATAGATGTTTAATTAAATCTGGACCTCTCTTATTCCTTGAAGATTATGCTTCTCAGAACTGAGGAAATGTTGTAAACACGTCAGATATTTAATTTTGCGAGCTATTTGACTATCTAGCAAACAACATTTATATTTGAATTCAGCGAATCTCATTATTATGCATAACCACCTTCAGGTGGAAAGATTATATTAGAAATAAAGAGACTTGGCTCTGGAAAGTTTGCGTTGAACACTGAGTAATCCTTAAAAAAATGAGTGTAGAAAATGTGTTACATTAGTGACTAAACTATTAGAAATGAGTGCCACAGAATATTATGTTGAAATCTAGAAGCAATCCAGGCTGCTGCACAGCCATAACCAGTAGCTGGATTGTGACATTGTTTTGCTAGCAAACAAGAAAAGCCTGCAATGCACCAGTGGCAGATCTGACTGATCTGAAGTACGAAAAGAGATAACTAAAAAACCTACCACTTTCTTCTTTATCCTGGAATATATGGCAACATGATTTGGGCTACAAGACGCAATTGCTACACAACAATAAATGTATTTGATTGGTTCAGTGTACCAAATCGAATCCAATACAATTTAGAGGAATACATGTGAAAAGAGGTTCAGGAAAAGACAATTGGTGAGGGGATTACTTGACAACTGCTTTTTGCTGGGGCGATTACCCATTCTGAGAAGTCAAAGGGATTTGAAGACACGCCAGCTCTCCATTCCTGTCTGCATAAACACATACAACCATGTGTGCAAAAACACAAACATACCGTGTCTAAATGCATCGGCCTTTTCCTCATATTGCTGAGAGGAGCAGAGATTTCCCAGGAAATCTCTCAGCAGGGCCTATATCAAAAGCTTAGAGCAGCGGCTCGTCTGCTGCAGTGGGAACACCTCTGGGAATTCTCCCCACAGACATGCAACTGAGAAGAAAGGGGCTTATTGTCAGAGTGTGTTCTGATTTGAGTTATAATAACATTACATTTGAAAAAAAGAAGGCAATATATTACAATCAAAGCTTTAATAAGCTGATCCCTGATTACAGTTGGAGATAAGATGTTAACATTAAATAGAAAACTAATAGGATTTTCAGAGACAACTGATACCCACGTACTCATGTTTGATAGGAAACAATTCAGGTCAATAGGATAGGTCCCCAGTTGATTACTCACATTAAGTACAATAATTATAATAATATCGTATTACACTCATTTAAAGAACACAAAGAATTTTAGGATAAATCTACAGATACAAATAGTCAATGTTAAACACCTAAATGTGGATGTTATCCTTCCACTAGTCTGAAAGAAGACGTGATATGCTAGCTTTTTGCTTGTTGTGTATCACCTTAAATCACAAAAGGGAAACAGTCATATTGTATGTTGTATTATATCACACACAGAAAAATGGGACATGCCAGGTGTTTTGGTGTTGCAACCAAATGGCAGACAATGTAAATAGCAGATTGCTGTGCTCTTTGGGAAGACATGACATGAGAAGCTACATTCCTCTGTCTACACAAATCACAGCATCACAAATGAGTGGGTTCAGACTCTAAACTGTATCAAAATATGCAGACGCACAGCTGAACAAGAAAAAGGCAGGAGTGAAACATTCAGAAAGCACATTTGTAGAGTAACAGGTTTCAAAGTAGGTTGTAGTTCAGCAGCTTTGTGGGGAGGCAAAGAGATGAGGTAAACAACATAAAAACACGGATTAAGGGCGGGAAGAAAGCCTAATAGCGGTAGATTATAATGGCATTACTACCCGGTGAGACACAAGTACACACAGCAGGCTTGAGGTATCAGTGGGAAGATGGGACTGACACTCAACGACTGAGTCACACAGAAGCTGAGCAGAAGGGCGAGGATCATAAAGACTGCTGCTTGGATGTAAAAGAAAAAAGCTCAGCTCCGGTGAGTCATCCTCCATCGCTTTAGACTTTTGTCAATCAGACATTTCATTAGCTACTGTTTGTTTAGTTTGGTGATTGTTGTACTCCATCATCATAAGACAAATAGTCTATAATGAGGAACTTTTCAATTAGGTTCATGTCAAGAGTACTGCATTTGTGTTTCAGTGGCCCTCCTACAATTCAGTCTTAAATGTGATTAAGGAACATTATGATTTAGATATGGGTCACGCAAACACATTCATCTTATTATGATATTTACGTTAAGGCCATATGGTGATGAATAATACAGCAATTACGACTTGCACTATTAGTCACATTAGGTTCATCTATAAGCTTAATCCAGGGTACATTTGCATTCCAGTAATTTTCCAAGTTACAAATCTTTACAGGCGATATTATAAGTCTGTAAAACAAATGGTGGATTTGTGACAGTATGAAAACTAGACCTCACCTAAGTAATTCTAAATCAATGCAAGGAAATATGTATACATTATTATTGCATGTATAGTCTGAAAGAAAAGGTTTGACATTTTGGAAAACTTGCTCATTCGCTTTCTGAAGGGTTATTTTGACTGCTATATATTAAGCTGCTGGTTAGCACAGCTTGGCATAAAACAAGGGCACACAGCTAGCTTAGGTCGGTTTGAAGATAACAAGAGTCACTGCGCCTGGCAAAGAAAAGGTCCAGCACATAACCCTATGTAAAACTTAAAATGTTTTTGCCCTTAGGTTTTAAAGGGCCCATGTCATGGCCATTTCTACTGATCATAATTCCATTGTTGAGGTCTACTAGAATAGATTTATACTGTGCATTTTTCCAAACTCACATTGGTTTCTCATACAGCATCTCTGTAAACTACGTGTATTCACTGAATTTCACTCTCTGCCTTTAACGGCTCGTTGTAGCTCCAATAGCTCCAGCCCCCACCCTCCCTGTGAGCACAGTGTGCTCTGATTGGTCGGGATGTTGTGAATCGCGCTGAGCTCCGTGGAGGTGTTGTTTCCTTGTTTAGGATACATAGCGAAACACAGCCAAACTCATCCTGAGCACACACAAACTCACAGCCGAAGTAAAAACAATAAGTGTGGCTTGATATTGAGTAAGAAAAAGGTTGATAAACGCTGTGAGAATGGGTCTGCAGAGAGAATTTTGCCGCGATCCCAACTGTCTGTTATCAGCCTGCAGCCAGGGAGGAGAAATCAGCTGAGCTGCCTGCTCCCTGCACACAGATGTGTGTGTGAGGAAGTCCGTGGATCGGTCAATTTGGACCAATCAGCGGGGGCTTAACGTAACGGCTCCGCGGACGTAACGTAACGGCTCCACGGATTGGTCCATTTCGTTCCGGGTACGGCTTGACATCATGCCGTACCCGGAACGAAATGGAAGAATCAAATGGACAATGACGTATCTCCAACGAGGCGTTTTGGGGAGGTATTTTCTGTGTTAGAGTTTCACTCGCTACAGGGTGTACTTTGAGGGTTTGTGACTCTGCACACCGTTTACATGCATAAAAACCTTCATAACACACAAGGGGACGGGTAATAACCGGAAAAGCATGACATGGGCCCTTTAATTTGGATAACACAAATTAGATGTAAAGCAGAGCTGCTGTTGAGCTCATTTTCTTACCTTGGGAACAAGGCTAGCTTATTTATATTTCCAATCTTTATAACATGATAAGCTAACCAGTTGCAGCTAAGTGTATAAATATGAGTGGTCTCAATACTCGTCTTACTCTCAATGGGAAACTTAATAAGCTAAATTAGTATGTCAAACTAGTTTAATAACTAACATAGCTAATATGGATTCTATTAACTGGGTCATGTAGCCTGTGAGTAATGTTTGAATTAACCCAGTGCATCGTGACTGGTTCATGGTGGTCGTATGTACCGAGTTCATTTTCCCATCCAAGTCAATTTCACAGCCTAGCTGTAGTGAGTTTTTCCCCCTTCCGTCTCTTTCAAACTACATTTTAAAGAGTTCTGGGAGACGGCAGTGGCCTCAGTGTTGGTCGATCACATTTTCTCATTAATTCAAAGGCGCCGTAGATGCTTTCCGATTAGGACATGAATAATAAACAGGCCTGTTAGTCTCCTTGTGGTGGGAGAAACCCTGTTTAATTCAATGCCTTTCCATGTGTATTAAGGAAACTGCTTCTCCACGCTAAAAAACGAAACAGCTTCAGACACATGACATTGTTGTTCCAGACTTAATAAACAACCAGTCAGGATGTGTTACAGTAGGGTGTCGAGCACAGAAAACCGCTAATACACACAAAATGGTTTAGGCTGCGATGCCTTTGTATCTCAAATAACATTTTCCATGATATGTGATCTTATGGTTCACTTTCTGCCATCAGATTAAGACAACGCGCCTTTTTTTCGGTGAGATTACACCTGTATCAGTGTCTCGGATCAGAAGCCTTGATGAGACCGGAGCTCCAATTTGCAAAGTAATTACAGATTATGACTCTTTGGTGTTGAAAAAACGATTCAAATGGGTGAGAAGATGGATGATTTTACATTCTGATGCACACATCAGTGTGCTGCAGGCAGGGGTGTACAGGGTCAATGCACATCAATTTATGAGCTGGAACTTTACCCAGATCATGGATCTTTGGCTCATCAAGTAATAGTCATTCAGTGGGGTCTTCCTAATTATCATAGCTTTAATGCTACATACGAAGCCATCATAAATAATTCAATAGGTTGTCTACCTCAATAAAGGACTTCCTTCTGGTCTCATATCCAGTTTGTACAACATGTCCTGCTCCTCTGCATGATAATTGTCAAGGTGTTATGTCTCCACCTAAAGGTGCCCCGAGGAACTGAATGACAGTCCCACGTGACAAAATGCTGAACTGATAGGCAGGATAATCATATAAACACTCGGAGCAGCACATTTAATCAGAGGTAATTATATATCTCTGTCATTTTGAATGATACATTAGGTACAAGAGGATATGATTAGGCTTGAATTATTGGAATTCAAGGGAGATACTGTATACATCCAATTACACCCTCACATCTGAAGAGTTTTTAATAAAATAATATAAGATTAAGCACAAATCACCATTAATTCAGTTGTGTATTATGCATAACAAGTAGTTTTATTATTACATTTAAATATTATATTTACATATTCCCATGACAAATGTACACTCACTTTTGTGTTTTTTTCAAAACTTTGTGAACTAGTTTAAAATAAGCAACAAAGTGATAGCGATTAAATAGGGGGTACAATTACATGAATTCAGAAAGTTTTTCCTTTACTTTCTCTTCAATGTTTGCAAAGTATTTCATTTGGGCAAGCAGGGCTTTGGCAGATTGAAGTTCTCCTGATAAGGAAAAAAGAGAGTGAAAAAGGAGGTTCAATAACTGACTCACTTAATTACTTTAAAAAAGCTTTGGCATAGACTACAAAACAAACTAAGGAATGAGTGGGAGGAAGAGAAAAAGAATATAATACCTTTAAGGAGGGCAGCGTCTATTTCTTCTGTCAAGACTGCCAGTTTCCCTGAAAGTGAGGAGGAGAAAAGTGCCAGTTCTGCATGTGTTAACAAGACAAGACGCATATGGTGCTTTTTATTTGTACAAGCTAAAAAGCACTCCTGCCTCTGTGAGTACCTGCTTTGTTTGAAGTTATACAAACCATATTGGAAAAATCAAAGAGTCATATTGTGTTAACACAGTTGGATGTGCCCACCATGTAGCACATGGATATGAGGAAAATTGTGTTTGAAAAAAGTGACAAATTAAGCACAACCATGTAGACAAAAATGAATCTGTCAAGTATATTTTGTTCGCTTGTCTGATGTTTTCACCCTTGTTTTGCATTGTACATACATTCAGGAATCAGTGGCGAGCCGTCAGGGCCCTCTAGGCCCTCTGTGAGGGCCTAAGATATTCCAAAAAATAATATTTAAAAACATTAAAAAAAAAAAAAAAAATGTAAAATATATATTTTTTTAATATTATTTTTGTTATATTTTTCATTAGTTTTACCGAAAAAAAACTTCATTTAATAAAATAACATTTCCAAAGAAATAAATCCTTCGAATCTGCCTGTTCAGTCTCTGTTTGAATGTCAGTTACTATAGCGGGCCTCTCTGCGATTCACAGAGGGCCCGCTATAGTAACTGAACGAGAGAGTAATGTCAAATGACAGTACAATTGACCAATCATATCTTCCCTCTAAATGGGTGGGTTTTATTATCGCGGACTTTATGACGAGTTCCTCCCGCTGTGAAACTTTTCTTGTTTCCATAGCAACAACAACTTCCTGTCAACAGCGTGAACTCGCCTTCAAAATAAAAGCATGCCAAATTACACTTAAGACATACAACTGCAACGAAAGTAACAAACACAATGCAATATCATTTTCAATGTCAAAGAACACAAATTGGGTTCACAGGTGTTGTTTTGTGTGGTAGAGGGTCGCTGTCATTGATGCGTTTTGCACCCTGGGCCGTTGTTTTGATATTCCGCTGAAGTATACGCTGTGACGTAATAACTATTTTTTTTTCTTTTTTTCGAGGGAAGGGGTGGGGGTCAGAGGGCCTAGGTATAAAGCTCACGGCTCGCCACTGTCAGGAATATAGTACTACTTTTTAAAAGGGGGGCATGTTTCGTATCTGTTTCTACTAGAATAGTTTCTGTTAGATTCCACCAATGTGAGGAGTCTTCTCTGATTGGCTTGAGAGAAAAATATGGTGCACCTTTGCAAAAGTAATTATGAAGCCATTGGTGGAGTTAATTCTAACTAACCTGCATGTGTCATTTAAAGAGGGGACAAACGTTAATGGCTTGTTGAATTTCATGTTTTGTAATTTACGAAGCCCAATACTGACTGTTTTTTAAAATTTCACAGCTAGTGGGTAACTAGGCATTTCAAAATGTATTTATTAATGCTATATGCCCTTTTTGGTCAGCCATTAAGTGAATCTGTTGGTCTTCATTAATGGTGGAGCCAACCATTCCATCCCTGGATTCAAATTTCCGAGTTTGAAAACCAACAACGTGAGTTTGTTAGGTTGCACTGGAAAGAGATTCACCAGTTGCTTCAGGTGTGCTAGCTGTTGTATGAAACCAAACATATTGTGACCAGATCACACTAAATCCATCACAACTGAAATAGTAATCATAACAAGGAATCAAAGAAAATACTAAGAAAGTCTCAACCAGTGAGCAGTTCAGCCAAAGGGGGATTTTATTAACTTTTAAGTGCCTCGAGAGGTCAACCTAGACCAGAAATCTGAAATAAATATATGTGATATTTCAGCACCAATTAACCTGGTAGTCGTCCACCTGCGCTAATTCGTGAATCATGAACACTAACTCATTAAATCAAACAGGCATATTTATTTACCTTTTGTGTGTTGGCCGATCTTATTGGCTTCCTCTGGAGTCTTAACTTCATCAAGGGCTTCATTGATCTCCATCAGCTCCATTAGAAACTCTGGATCAGCCCCGGAGTCTGTGCCCTCTTCAATAACCATTCCCTTCAGCTCCAGCTATAAAAAATAAAGGGAGATCATCAACCTCAACAGCTCCTTCATATGGAACGGTGTTTCTCAAGAAAAGGCGTCCAGACAGACAGAGCGAGCCATTATGAAAATAAACCATCCATTAGAAGTTAAGTCAGGGATTTAAAACTCACCATATAAAGGCCACGACTCAAAGGCTTAAGCAGTGTGTGGTAAGCTTTGTTCACAAGAGCGGAGTAGCTTTCTGAATACTCCTGTTCTTCCTGCAAAAGAGGGTTCTGTTTAGTTAAGAATGTTCAATCAATATTCATTCATTTTAAAAAGGGGAAAGAAAATATGAGTAATTGGCATAGTAATTGGTTTGTTGTGCATTCAGAACAACAAACCGTTTCGTTATCCAGAGTTACACATCAAACTGTCACTAAAGGGAATAACATATGATATGTTTTACACCTTGTCATAACAATCTATACCACTGTCAATTTGTTAAACACCGAATCCTTGGTGATACTGACAATTAGGTGCATGACATACAGCTACTCCTTTGTTGTCGGGCAGTTTGGGACCCTTCAAGGGAAGCAGGTGTAAGTTTGACACGACAGACATGTGGAAACAAGACAGGGAGGAAAACATCTTGGAAATGTTTGGCAGATCTGAGTACATTTTGCAGCTATCAGGTCTGTCAGCCCTTGTGAAAATCAATAGTCTAAAGCACTGGCCCATGGGCCCACCGTGTAGAGCTGTTTCTGTAATAACAACCAGTGCAGTAGGTGGCTGCCTTGTGGCCTTGTATAAGTAATGAGTTCTCTATATGTGATGAAGACCCACAAGGCTAGAAGATGTCTAATTAAGAAAAAATGGCCAGAGGTGCTAATAAATAAAACACAGTCAGTACAATATTGGACAGGTTGTGTGTGAATAAAGCATTTAGGCGCTACCTTTCCTCTCTCTGACATTCTGCTGAATATGAGTTAGGCTTTCATATAATTCATGACAGCACTCTGCATTGTGTTTTTGCACCTGGGTGTACAGAATAAATTATTAGAAAAGCAAAACACGTTCTGTCTTCCTTCTGCTCATAATGCTTATTCTTCTAAACTGCCAGGCATCTTTTTTAATGATCCACAAGGGAGAAAGTGGATAATGTGAAAATCGAGTCAACCATTTACCACTTTGTAAAATAACCTTTAAACACATTCGACTTTAAACTGCTTAGATTTATATGGACAAGTCTTATTTCTTTCTGAGGCTTGAGGATTTAATGTGAAATGTAGGCCTAATTGTCTCATCAACTGTGCATTTGGCTGGATGGGATTTCCACACAAGATTCTAGTGTTAGAAAAGTACACTTAGCTGCAAATAAAAAGTGGCAAATCAAAATTGATGGGGAAAAGATGAGGAGATGTTTTTCCCAGAGAGGAAGTGCTCCATCCATTCCAGATAAAAGGACAAACTAACATTAGATCTATTTCCTGTATTTTTCCTTCAGTGTCTTATGATAAAGCATCACCATGAGTTTGCTGTGTGCTTTTTATTGATGTTCTATATAAGGCTGAGTTAACCTGACTTTATGTCCTTAGTATAGGTCAAGCTACCAAAACATCCTGCCCATTTCCCATGTCTTTAAGCTGCACTCCACAGGCTTTCTGTTAGAAATGTGTAGTATTGTAACCAAAGGAGAAATAACCTTGATGAAATCACGGTTACATAATTGTGGTTATTTTCTCTGACTTGAAAAAGCACCTTGACATTTTACATTGTACTCACAGTCCTAGGTCTTTCGATCGAGTTGCTGCCATGACAGCCCCTATACAAGCGCTTCGAGATTTGTCTTGGCAGATGAGAAGCGCTATATAAATTAAATTTATTATTAATTTATTATTTACTTTCCGCAACTACAGAGCTTATTTGAGATATTTAAGTTATTATTTCTCTATTAAAAAGTCTTCACTGGAAATAAGCTGTTATAGCCAAGGTCAGCTCCAGTAGGTGTTATGAAGTACATGAAGAATACAAAAAGTCTTCACAGCTGTAAGACAATTGGCTTTGCTTTTGGGTTACTTAAAGGTAGGGTAGGTAAGTTTGAGAAACCGGCTCGAGATCGCTAGAATTTGAAAATACACAACCGGAGAAAATCTGCCACTTCCTTATAGAGCCCCTCCTCCAACACACACGAACGCGCGCATGACCAATGAGGGCACGAGATAAGTTTGTGGAAGGCTGACAGGCAGGTAGGCCATCCAGTTATTTTAGCCGGGCCGGCTAAAATGATTGGTCGTACTTTTTACAGTACTACGGCTTCCACAGATGACATTTTTTAATGGATTTTTTGTCAAAGCACTTAAGATATTCATTGCTATCGGGATGTTAAGAGCATTCCATGGAATATAACAAAAAGTGTATCTCGAGCCGGTTTCTCAAACTTACCTACCCTACCTTTAACTTGTCATGACTTCTCCACTTAAAACTGCTTAATTCCATCATTAATTCACCCTTGTTTATTTTTCCATTTATATGTTAAGTCTTTTGTAACTAACCCAATTAACATCTTGACATGTCATGGTAGGAAAAGCCCAGGTGTATTTAATTGTGAATACAACAATGTTCTACACTCCTTTCTTCCGATATCATGTTTTGTAGTGTTCCTTCGTTCTTTTCGTAAGCAATGCTTTTTTCTTTTTATTTGTTCGCAGAGGCGGGAGAAGTACTCAGATCTTGTACTTAAGTCAAAGTAAAAGTACCAGAGTGTAGGAATACTCCGTTACAAGTAAAAGTCCTGCATTCAAAATGTAACTGAAGTAAAAGTACAGAAGTATTGCATCAAAATATACTTAAAGTACCAAAAGTAAAAGTACTCATTATGCAGATTGGTCCATTTCAGAATAATATATATTTTATGTTTTGATTATAATTATTGATGCTTTAATGTGTTTATCAAAGCTGGTAAAGGTGCAGCTAGTTTTAATTACTTTGCATACTGCAGGGTAGCTTGTGAATGTTACTCAAAGTGTGACTAACGTCTTATTTAAGTGTTGTTGATAATATTTCACAACATAACTAAAGGTATTAAATAAATGTAGTGGAGTAAAAATACACCATTTACCTTTGAATTGTAGTGGAGTAGAAGTACAAAGAAGCATAAAATGGAAATACTCAAGTAAAGTAAGTACGTCAAAATTGTACTTAATTACAGTAGGCTACTTGAGTAAATGTACTTGTTACTTTACAACACTGTTTGTTCGACTTTTATATTGCTAAAAAAAAAAACGTCTTTCTAATTTTTCAAGAATGACTCCCTTGACCAACTCATCATGAATCATACTAACAGAACACAATCACTCCTCACATCCACGTGCCTACCACAGATTTCTGGCTGAAGTTGTCTGGATGCAGAGAACGCTGGAGATGCAAGTATCTTTTCTGCAGCTTGTGTGTGTCCAGTGAGAATTTGTAGTCACTGAAAAGAGGCAACACATGGTGACACGAAATGTTTTGCTCACAGGCTGACATGAGTAAGATAGCAGCCTAGCAGGCAGTGATATATGAGACTAGATACTCACCAATCCATGATGTTAAATAATGATGTGTCTTCTTCTGGGGGCTGGACTGCTTTGCATGTCAAGCAGAAGAATGCAGGTGTTTGGTCGAGAGGCTGTTTGCAATTCCAGCAGTTCAGTTTGAATTGACCTGTGCAGTAATTCCTGGGTGAACTGGCTGCATATGTCGAGTATTGTAGCTTTCTTTCATTTCCCGTCGGTTTGAGGTTATTTTGTCTTTGCCATGTGTCCTTCTTTGGGAAGCTGGTAGACACACAATGTGCTGAACATGTAACAGTTTTATTAACACTCTGTCGGTTTGTCATCAGCCAGTTTGGGTGCAGTAAAGCCCGGAATGGGCACACAATCCGTAAAGAGTTGTATGACAACATTTCCAAAATTAGGAGCTGATTTCCAGTCTATCAAAACATAAGATATTCACCTTGCAGTTAAAACCATAACAAATCTCCCCCAGAAAGAGAGCGGAAACGCGTTCTTCTTCTACGTTTGTTATAATCACCACACTGCCATCCGTCGTCTTGGCGGAAGTGCTGCCTGGAAAAAACAACACATAGCTAGCGCAGCTGTTTGCAAAAGCTAACGAAATGTGTTAGCAACTATTGATATTAAAGTAGGGTTGGATTTAACCGCAGCATACCACATAGTAAGTTGAACATCATAGCAGTTTGAAATACGTGTTAGCAACATGTCGCTGTCATATTACCTGCAACGTAGGACGGCATGTAAACTTCCCAAGACAGAGATAAAGCCGGTGGTCAACATAGCTCATTAGCTAACAGCAGGCTAGCTTAGTTTGCTAACGTGTTTTTACATCAAACAATGTTCTTGCTTGTGTCCGTGATGATACGTAGTTTGTTGTCACATACCATTCAAAGCTACCAAAGACAGCTGGTCACGCTATTTATTTGTATATGGTCAAACAAATCATCCGGTTTTAACTTTTTGTTAAAAAGTGCATGCTCAGCTAACGTTACCTAGCCAGATGACAAAGACGCCCCATGCTAATATTACGAGCGATGAAGATATTCAATACATCCATGTAAATGTATAAATATATCTATCTGACAACACAAATATCACTGGCACGATACATTGCACAGTTAAGAGTACACGCAATGTACTGTAAAGTATTGTTTAAACATAACTTGGATTAGTAGTACGCATGCAAGTAACTTTCTGTACACCTTTTGCCTTAGCATGTCACTCCCAAGTTAGGGACTCCCACAACTAGGACGAAATTAACATCTACCATTGTCCTTTTCAGGTATTCTATTCACCCCCATGGCTATGGGAGAGGCAATGGTCCATGAAGAGTTTTGGTTACACACAGAGTGGCTTGTCCACCAAGATCATCAGCAGGCACTGGACCACAGATAACACCTCCAAACTGGTGATTATTTTATTTACTGAGTGTGCTTGTTGTGCTTCTTTATCATCTAACCATACTTCTAGACCACATCAATGTAATAGTTATGTGTGCTTAAGTGTCTCTTAACTGTGGCCAGGCTAAATATGCCTATTTGGCCCAGGATCAGACTAGGCGTCCCGACTCCTCGCCTTTATAGTTTCCTAACAAAGTACAGGCTCTGATGAATGCCAACTCCAGACTCTTGTTGTGTATGTGTAGGTGTGTGTTTTGGGGGACTGTGGGAGTGCAAAAGTTGACGGTGAAGTATTCCAGAGAGACACTAGTTGGAGACAGCAGCTTCTGTAAGGTAAACAGGATCTCGTCCTGAAGGTCGAGGGAGGTGCTTCTCAAGGCCCCCACAGACAATACTCTCGGTATTATTAACGGAAATGGCTAAGAATAGAGAGCAAGGGAGAAAGGTGGCTCATCTGGCGGCCGTGTTGTTTGGGTTAAACAAGCCAAAACGGAACATCATCTTTAGAAGAGTGACTTCTCAAGCTTAAACTCTGGGTGTGTCAAACTCACACAGGGCTAGGAGTTGATATGGGGCTCTTTATCTTTCTCTGATGTGCAGCAGCCAAACAGGTTGTGTTGTGGATCGCTCATGACTGTTTACGAATGGATTTGTTGTGTTTTACGTTACGGATTTGTAAGTAGAACCTATTTTTCCGAGTTCATTAAAAGCCTTTTTATCTATCCTTACACATACATTATGTTTTTCAGATTTTCTTTTCTTTGGATTGGTTATATTTTATACCAACAACAACATTAGTGTTGTTGCCTTTGGGCCAGGTTTGATGGCAGGTCCCAGTATAGGTAACTTTATTCAACATCATCAATATTTTGATTATGATATGTTGATATAATCATAACAATACATTTTCTGGAACATTCATAAACATGGTTAATGGATATAATTACTAAATATAAATATTATTATATTGCCCCAGCCCTAGTTGGTATTGTGATACCCTGGATCAGAGCAACGTTACTAAAACATAATATATTGGCACTATGATGACTGATTGTTATTGTGCGAGAATATCATTTTAAAGGCTAAAAAATATTTTTTTTTAGCTCTAAACCTTTGAATGGGTATTCAGTAGTGTTGATGGATTCAGTTCCAAATCTTGTCTTTTCAGTTCAAAGTAAATGCATTTTATTTAGTGTGTTATAAATAGGCATAGCAACTGCCTGCTACCTGCTGAAACTATTGCAATTGAATTTAGCTATTGGCTAATCTTGGAGAAAGGAGAAGTATATGAAGGCAGCTTTTGTGACAAACTAACCCTTGCTGTCGGCTTATTGCAAAATTGTTACTTTAAACAACAGTTTCATATAGGGATGCTCCGATCGCCAATTTTGGGGCCGATCGCCGGAATCAGTATATCGGCCGATACCGATCGAGTGGGGATCTTCCATTTAAAGTGATGTTTAAAACTCAGTTAATGGGGCTCATTCACTGGCGCTTCCACAAACAACAACCAACATAATTATTACATTCAAATGAAGTACATTATTCAAGTTTACATTCACTTTGGATAATAACACGGGAGAAATGAGCGGAAGCGCTCTCTTTTCCTCTCTCCCCCTCTCTCTCTCTCCCCCTCTCTCTCTCTCCTGACAGCCTGTCAGTATCTCCTGCAGCTCACTGATCCAGTAATGAGTGACCCGACAGTGAAGAATAAATATATTTATAACTAGTTTAGCTAGTTCCAGAGGTAGATAAAATAGCTAAGTGTGTTAGGTCTAACTCTTGTGTGTTTCGCTCCGCTCAGCGGTCCGTCACAGCGGTCCGTCACAGCGGTCCGTCACAGCGGGTGGAGCTGCAGGATTTCTGCTTCACACACACGTTGCATACCGCTATTTTATTGTCATTTTCGGACACCTTAAAATACTGCCAGACTCGTGAAGCCATTTTTGCGAGCTTGTTTTGCCGCGCACAGAGAAAAGTGTCATGTATTTTACGTCATGCGATCGGCTCTCGCGATCGGCATTTTTAGAGAGCACCGATTGATCGGCAGAGAGTGAGTATCGGCCGATATCGATCGGTGGCCGATCGATCGGAGCATCCCTAGTTTCATACCAGAATTTTGCAATTGATGCATCCCGTAACAAAATTATAACAATAGTCTGCATTAAAGCACGGTGGAAGTAGCAAAGTAGTTAGCTAACTATCCAGCGGCCTAATAAGTGAAATAGAATATCCACATAAAGTATTTTCACATTATATGAAATTCCATCCAAGTACTGCTAATGTTGATACTTATTTGTTCACTTTCTAGAGGACTTTTTCTTTAAATTAGAGTAAAGGCACCATCACAACTGACAGCTTTGAATATCTCTTTAAGTATCAGAAAACTTTTTTTCATTAGTTTAGGTGACATAAACAGCACCAGAAAAATAAATGACTTAATGCTGCCTTGCTAATTAGGTGCCCTCCCAATACAAAACAGATGCACAGGTTATTCTTCATTAAGCTAATATGAAAGGATTGTTCTGTTAAATTAATCATTGATTATATGCACAGTCGGCATGTACTTTCAAGACAACATCATGTGCGAGATTCGTTTTTTTCTTCATGAATTATTTACCATAATCTTATAGGGAATAAAGTGAAATGCAGACAAATTGACTTTATGTTTTATCAATAGCTGGTTTGCCATTTGGCCATGTCCACTATGACACCCTATTTGAAACAAAGATTGATTGTGTCGGTTTAAAGAAAGTTAAATCAATAATATGTTGGCCCACTCGGTAAGGGCAATTGTTTGTCACAACAGTCTCTATTTCATTATTCCTGGCAGATTTTTGGCAAATTAGTTGTCTGCAATGTTCTGATGTATGACCTTGATAGTTAGCATTGTAGTATTGATTTTTGGGCTTGGTATTGTATAGTGGTTCAGGTAAGGGCTGTTCAGAGACTAGGCTGTAGGAGCTTTTTCTTTTTAGTAGTGTTCTGTTATTTGACAAGGCATTATAATTCAGTACAGCACTTTCCTCTGTTATGAATATGTCCTCAATTTTTCTCCCCCACCACAGATTAACCATGATCCCCATCACTGAGCTTCGGTACTTTGTGGACACACAGCCGGCATACCGCATCCTGAAACCATGGTGGGATGTGTTCACAGACTACATCTCCATTGTTATGCTAATGATTTCGGTGTTTGGGGGGACACTGCAGGTCACCCAGGACAAGATGATCTGCCTGCCCTGCAAATGGGTGGTCAATGAGACCTGCAAAAAGAACTTCAATTCTACCCTCTCCGAATCATTGTTCGCGGAACCCAAAGGAATCCAGTATGATCTTGATCGCCACCAGTACAACTATGTGGATGCTGTGTGCTATGAGAATAGACTGCACTGGTTTGCCAAGTATTTTCCTTACCTAGTATTACTCCACACTCTTATTTTCCTAGCTTGCAGCAACTTTTGGTTTAAGTTTCCACGGACAAGTTCCAAACTAGAGCACTTTGTATCCATCTTGCTGAAATGCTTTGACTCTCCATGGACGACGAGGGCACTGTCGGAGACTGTGGTTGAAGAGAGTGACCCAAAACCAATGAAAATGAACGGCTCAATGGACCACAAGGAGTCCGTTATCAGTGAGGATGTCGAAGCAAGTGTTCCTATGCTCCAAAGGACAAAAACACGCTTTGAGCAGGGCATTGTAGATAGAACAGAAACTGGGGTTTTGGACAAGAAAGAGGGTGAACAGGCAAAAGCCTTGTTCGAAAAAGTCAAGAAGTTCCGAATACACGTTGAGGAAGGAGACATCGTGTACAGACTGTACATCCGTCAGACTATCATCAAAGTCATCAAGTTTATATTTATAATCTGCTATACAGGGTATTATGTGCATGACATTAAGTTCAGTGTTGACTGTTCAGTAGATATAGAGAGCCTGACCGGTTACAGTGTGTACCGTTGTGCCCACCCGTTGGCTACACTTTTTAAAATCCTAGCCTGTTTCTACATTAGCTTAGTAATGGTGTATGGTTTGATCTGCATGTACACGCTTTGCTGGATGCTTCGGCGTTCTCTCAAGAAGTATTCCTTTGAGTCGATACGGGAAGAGAGCAGCTACAGTG